GATTTTTTTTTCCGACAGAGTGAAATATAGATAACATTTCTAAATGTATTAAAAAAAAGATAATATTTCTAAACTATATCCAAATTTTAATTCAGACCCGTTTGAGGGTGCCTTTTTTGGGCCGAACTAGATTCGCTGCAAAGCCCAGTAGCCCATCGCCACTTGAGACCCAAAGTATCTCGAATATTTATTAACAAAATGTCGACACCGACTATTGTTTTGATGCTTATTTTATTTTTATAATTTAAAATATTTTAAATTGGGTATTTGTGATGTCTTTAACTAATTGATTGAGATATACTTGTATCGAACAATTTTAATCAAATTTCTAAATGTATATAAATATTCATTTTGCTATTTAAATTTCTTTAAATCATATAACTAAATTTTTGTGTGTGAACTCGAACATGGTTCAGCTCATTGAGATATTTATCTCCAATTAAGAAGTCGTGAGTTCGAATCCTCATCCACGATGTTGTACTAAAAAAAAGCGTTAAATTTGTTTGTATCGTCTCGTGGGACTCATGTTTTAAGCTATATTTCTTATGTCAGAAATCAAAATTAATATTTTCATATCAAACGGGCAATACAAACTTTTTTAAAAAAAGGTCAAAATTAATTGTTGTGAACGTTTATATGTACCAAAAATAAAATTAAAACTTACAAAAATAATAATAGAAAGAAACACTTTTGAGTCATTTTACTCATTATTTGGAATTGTGATTCATATGATTCATAAATGGTACAATTGTACTAAACTATTGTTTATATCTTATCATTATTGTCCCTTTCTCATTGTACTTTGTTTTTTTAATTATTATTATTTTGGTTCGGGGATTGCAATTGCCAATTATTAAGGGTCATTCCCTCATTATATGTACGAACACCTTGAATTTGGGCAAAACATCGTAAAGTCACTAACAATGTTTTTATTTTTAGAAAATATAAGTCTAATTTGTGGTCCAACCATTTCAAAAATAAATATCATGAATTACTCAGGTTGATTATGGTCGAATTTTAAGAACTAGCCCTGAACTAAATAGTTAAAGTCGAATTTTAAGATGATCACTTGGTTGATTAAAATTATGCGAAGTAATTGTAAGCAATTTTATCTTTATAGTTTTCCAAACGAAATTAAACACACTTAGCTTTAGAGTTAGTTTTTACTGATGGTTTACCAAAAAGAAAGTATAGATCAAATTTGTTGCGTTGTTATATAGTTCAACAAAAAGCCGAGATGATATTACATATTGATTATAAGAATTTCTAAATAAAGATGAGTCAAAGTGAATGAGGAAGGGAAGACCACCCGAAACAAGATTCAAAGTACCCTCAATTTTCACAACGATAATATATAATTTGTTTGATGGAAAGAAAAGAAAAAGGAGAAAACCCGACATTAACAATGATACCAACCCAGCAATGCTTTTGTGCCCCATATTTCACTCCCATCGTTTTCCCATCTTTTCTTTCTAAAAACAATAACTTTTTAAAGGTGAAATTATACAAAGCCATTTTAATCATGAGTATGGACCCTATCATTATATTAACATTTAACTATTTCTATGCATCTATATCTCCCCCTCTCTCTCCCCTTTTTTGGCTTTTGTTTTTTTGATTCATTGCATTAAAAAATTCGAATACAATTCCTTTGATTTCGTGAGGATAGAATTTAGTTCATATGCTAGGGAATAGATCTTTTTGTACTATATTCAAATCCCTAATTCACAATTACATTTAAAGTATCAATCAGATATTCTTAATTAATAATTTACTAGTATTATTTGATATATGAAAAAAAACTTGAACAAAAAAAAAAAGTATTAGACGATGCTCGAAGTGATATATTTGAAATTATTAAGCATTGACTTTGCTTGATTAAACTTGGATATTGATGCTTCTGACTCTATTAATGACCATTTTTCTATATGTTATTGGATATATAATTAATGCAAATTAATATTGAGTTTCTCTAAACTTGGACAACTATGTTCAAGTCTTTTGCACTTGTTCTTTGACAGCTTAGTAAATCTTTTTAGATTCTTACAAAATTTTCACTATTCTACCATTATTTATTTATGGTTTTAATTCCCTCACAAACTTAGTATGCAAATTGGCATATCTATTTCCAAAACTTATTTTGAACGGTCTCGAGATTCAAAATTTGAAACTTTAAAAGGTATAATTACATTTTAAAAAAATTATAAACATACTAGTTTTATATTTTAAACTAATATTATTTTTTTTTAATTATAATTAATTAATTAATAATATTTTAGATTGTACTAAATTTTTAATTGCTTTCCCTCGTTTAGAAATAACTTAAATTTCTAGATCACCAATTAAACGCACACAGTTTAAAAAAAAAGGTTGACCTTATCTAATTTGTATCTTTCCATCTCTATTTCTCCCTTTATATTGATACATTTTCTCTCTATATCGATACAAATTGCATAATTAACCCAATCTTTGCTCACTCTTTCAAGAAGATTTAGATTGATCATCTCATGAAAGATGGATTCGGAATATTTTCATTAAAAAACTGATCTTGGTTAGAGATATCGAGAATGATAATATAATTTCACATTAGTTGATAGTGAAGATGATAAATACATAGATAAATATTTTATCTCAATTAATTGACGTATGTTTTTTTTATATATATTTTAAAAAAATTACACAAATCAAAATATTAATATCATACCACGGTATAAACATCGACAATGGTACTTATAAAATTATGTTACTAAAAATGTGGGTGATGGGTCATAGAATTTGGAAAAAGAAGTTATGGATGATGATGTTTCGTGACCACATTGAGAAAAATTATAAATTTGGTTAACTTTATAGCAAATCAACAATTCATCCACTCCAATCATACCATTTGATTAGACACATCAAAAAAGTTGATAAATCTATCTCCACTTTAATCAAGATATAGTCTTTGTGGAAATTTTATTTTATTTATTTTTACTCAAAGTGCTCTATTCAACTCAAACCATTACTTGTTTGTGCTTGCAAAAAAAAAAAAAAATAAAATAAAATAAATTAAATATAGGTTGCATGAAAACCTTTCCAATTGTTTTTCAAGTGGATGAACAAAATTAAATTCTTCATCGTTGGTAGAAATGACCAAATATTTCTTACAAATCAAACAATAGAAAACAATGATAAAATTATTGTAAAAAGTAAAAGAAGGATTAAAAATCACACAAATTATTGCAAGAAGATGAATGTTATGGAACTCTTCTGCTTTAGATCCCATTAGTCTTATCCCAATTCTTTCGAAAAGTGAAATCTTTAAAAAGTTTGTTGCCTTGCAAATCTTTTGTGCCGTATACTTCCAAAAAAATGAACTTGGCATCAACATGAATACGTACTTACAATTCCAATTCCCAAGCAACATTAAAGATAAAAGAAAAATAAGAAGAAAAAAATAATCACATTAAAATTTATTATTCCAACATTTTACCTATATAATGTGATAAAATATAATGTAATAAAGTATTTTCTAATTTTAAAAATTAAAAAAAATTAAAATTAAACATATTTTATCCACTCAACTATGTTGGGAGGGATAAAACTTATTTCGAATATAAATATATATGGATATATTTTGAATTTATGACGGAATTAAAATTGGCCCACTTTTTTTTTCCGTCTCTCTAGTAATAATGATGTGATGATGAGTGTTGGCATGTAACGTTACGTTGATTTCTAAGACATTAATTTGTATAATGATCTTAGTAAAGAAATTTCTCTTAAAAAAAAAAGAAAAAAAAAGAATGACGGCTCATCAACTCGATCAGGACCGTTGGATTCCTCGGTTGGGGGGTCGTGTCCTAACTCCTAAGCCTCCAATGCCATATGCATAAGCACATGCCACAAAGGGAGAGATTTGGTGAAATGTATACTGTCATTAAGACAATAATATACTTTACATGCCATTTATTTTCCCATCCAAATGGTTTTTTTTTTTTTCATTTGGGATTTGAATTTCGATGATATATACTCAAACTAGTTGAATCATCTAATACTAATATTTTGATGTTATTTACTTTTCCATCTCTAATAAATAAAAGTTACATCAAATTATAAATATTTTCAAAGAGATTTATGATAGGATTTTGTCACATGTACCAAACTAATTGTTAAATGAACTTACAAATCTAAAATAAATTTTAACAATAAGAATAGAGATTAAATACGATATGTACAAAAACTAAGTTTCTAATTTAATTCTAACAAAAATAATATTAGAAGAAACTCCACGTACATTTATGCTGGGTAGGTATTTTGGGTATAATTTAAAAATAAAGGGAAAACATTTCTCTCCCTCTTGTTGTGTTGTTACTTTTAATACTGCCTACCTATTTTGTTCACAAATTTACAACATCCATTTTTGTTTCTAGTTTCACAATATCAAATATCTTGTTTTATTTTTCAATTTTACAATGAGTATTGAATTTTTGTTATATATTCCTTTTTTCAGAAAGAAAAAACTAATGGGTGGGTATAATAAGAAGAAAAGTACCTTTCTTGACAAATATTGAAATAATTACAAATAAGCATAATATTAGAGAGATGATTTGATATCGTCATTCAATTTTGGATTTTTTTGAGAGAGTAAAAAAACAATTGGGAAAGAAGAAAAGGAAAAAAGAAAATTACTGTAACATTGGGTGACCATTTGGCCAATGTTGTTAATGGCAGTGGGGTTGAGACTTGAGAGAGAGAGAGAGAGAGAGAGCATAGGCAAAAAAGAATTTAAAGGGGAAAAGGAAAAAAAAGGGAAAAAAAAAATTGGAAAATAACTTATGTCATGTAGCAGCAATAAATCCAAGAAAAGTAGAGCCCTGTCTTTATTAGACTAAATTTCAATTAATTTAACCGAATTTTCAATTATTTAATTAAAAGAAAAAAGTGGAGCAAAAAAGAATTTGAAGAAGCCGAATACCTCGCACCCTTATAAGTTCCCCTCGTCAGTTGCTCATTTTTCTCACCTACATCTCTTATTTCTTTCTTTCTTCTTCTTCTTTTTTTCAAATTTTTTCTCTCTCTTTAATTGCAGTTAAAGATGGTGGAAGAGAAGCCCAGAATTGTGATTATTGGAGCGGGAATGGCGGGGCTCACGGCGGCGAACAAGCTTTACACGGCGGCAGGCTCCAAAGATTTGTTCGAGCTCGCCGTCGTGGAGGGCGGAGAGAGAATCGGCGGCAGAATCAACACGGCGGAGTTCATGGGCGACAGAATAGAGATGGGCGCCACGTGGATCCACGGCATCGGCGGCAGCCCAATCCATAAAATTGCCGAGCAAATCAACGCCCTCCACTCCAACCAGCCGTGGGAGTGTATGGACGGCTACTCCGACCTCCGGACCACCGTCGCCGAAGGCGGCCTCGAGCTCTCTCCGGCCACCGTCGACCCCATTTCCTCTCTCTTCAAGAAGCTCATGGATTTCGCTCAGGGGAAGATCACCGGAGACTCCAATTTTCTCCAGCAAGCTAATAATATCCATGGTAATGGCCTGGAGAAGCTCAGCATAGGAGCTTTTCTCCGGCGAGGGCTCGATTTGTACTGGGTTTCTAATAATGGCGAAATCGAGCCCAATGGGTGTGGAGAATGGACCAAAAAATCTCTGGAGGAAGCCATTTTCGCCATGTACGAAAACACCCAAAGAACTTACACCTCCGCCGGCGAGCTCTCGACGCTAGATTACTCGTCGGAAAGTGAGTACCAAATGTTTCCCGGCGAGGAAATCACCATCGCCAAAGGCTATTTGAGCGTAATCGAATCCATCGCCTCTGTTCTTCCCCCTGGATTAGTCCAATTGGGCAAAAAAGTAATCAAAATCGAATGGCAGCCGGAGCCGGAAGGCCGGAATATTCCAAATGACACGCAGACCGATTTCCGGCCGGTGAAGCTGCATTTCTCGGACGGGTCCGACATGTCGGCCGATCACGTAATCGTGACGGTCTCGCTCGGGGTTCTGAAGGCCGGAATCCAGCAACGGCGAGAGTCAGATTCAGATTCCGATTCCGATTCAGGTTTGTTTAATCCTCCTCTGCCTTCGTTTAAAACAGAGGCCATTTCGCGGCTCGGATTCGGCGTCGTCAACAAGCTGTTTCTCCGGCTGGCTCCTCCGGCCGCCGGAGCCGAAGATTCGAAGAATTCCAACATATTCCCTTGCCTGAATTTCGTTTTCCACCGGCCGGATTCCGAGTTACGGCGCAAAAAAATCCCATGGTGGATGAGAAGAACCGCATCTCTCCACCCAATTTACCAAAATTCGTCCCTCTTGCAATCCTGGTTCGCCGGAGAAGAAGCTCTCCACCTCGAGAAACTATCCGACGAAGAAATCATCAATGGAGTTTCCACTACGATCGGCAATTTCCTAATTCCAGAACCCAATTCGAATTACAGAGTGAAATTCACAAAGGTTTTGAAGAGCGAATGGGGCAGCGATCCTCTGTTTCTGGGGTCATACTCATACGTTGCAGTGGGATCGAGCGGCGAGGACTTGGACGCCATGGCAGAGCCATTGCCAAGAACAGAGAACAGAGAATCGTCTCCAGAAGCTCCAGCGCTTCAGATTCTATTTGCAGGAGAAGCAACTCACAGAACCCATTATTCCACTACTCATGGAGCTCATTTCAGTGGCCTTAGAGAGGCCAATAGGCTGCTCCATCATTACAATTACAACTGCGTTTGAATTTCTGAAACAACTTTTTCTTTTTTTCTTTTGGGGGTTTTTAAGAGGGCTGGCTTGGGAAGGGGGGAAAATGAAAATGGTATTTATTACTGTGAGATTGTTCCATAATATTATTATGATCTTCAAAGTTCAATGTCAATATTTCCCTCATCTTTCTCTCTCAAATTGTTGAATTATGATGAGAGGAAAAATAGAGAGACAGAGATGTGATGAGGGTACTTTTAGATGTACTGCATTAATTAAAGTTGAAAGTTTGATTGATTTTACTTCTGCTCTCTTTTCTTGTTTATACCTCTTTCTTCCTCTCACTCCCCCGTTTCAGCTCTCAGAATCATTTCTCTCACATTCAATTTTGAAATATATACATATTTTATTTAACTTTCCTAGTAAGGATTTAGGTGATGTACCACTCTTCTCTGTGGATTTTAAAGTTTATAACAACTCAATTCTTATCCCAAAAATATTGTAAAGATTTTACAAGATTTCTTATATGGTGTGGATCAATATAAACTTGCTTCTTAACCTCTTTTGAGTTCAATTTTGTGGGGGTAAAAATTTCAACTTCTTATATTTTAATAAATATATATATATATATATATATATATATATATATATTAACCAGGCTATATTTAGATTGGGAAGGGGAAGTAATATTACTACTGCCCCCATTTACCTTTATGTAAATTTTATTTTTTGTCTTTTTAAATTTTGTCATTGTCTTTTTACAATTTACTTAACACTCGTTACTAAAATCTCGAAAAATAAATATAATAGTGACAAAGATAAGTGGGAGAAAAGTGAAAATATATATAAATAGAAAAAGTTAGATATTATATTAAGCTAACTTTTAATCCATCAATAATTTTTCCCCAATAAAAATTTGACACGTTGAACTAAGTTTCTTTTCGACTAAATATCACTTTTATAGCAAGATCAAATCAAATTTTATGATTTAATGAGATCTTATGAAGAAGTTAAAAATCCAAATTGATACAGATTTTGACATAAAATAAAAATGTGACACTTGAAAGGATTGGTCGTAATAATGTGCTAAGTCAACATTAGAAGACATAACAAACAACAAGCTAAATAATATGTTATTTTAAACATTAATTTATCTAAATCTTTTATAAGATTATCTATCTTTTGGACATGCCAGATATTTGATATTGATATGATACTAAAGCAAAAGATGCTTTAAATTCAAATGTCTTACTTATTTTCTATCCTTTATACCTATTAATAATAAACCACATGTGATATATTTTTGTAAGGGAAAAATTTAAAAATACATATAGCTTAACATACCATTAGAATATAGTTTGAATTTAAACTCCGACAATATCATTTCTTGCACGTTTTATATATTAATTGATGTCTAATTAATAAAACTTGGTTGACTTATAGATTTTTATTAAAAAAAACTTATAGAGTATATCTATAAAATAAAATTTAGAAAGAAAAATGAAGGTTGATTCACTACCACCAGTGACATCAGTATCATATTAAACATGAGATGTGTAATTTATCGACATTTAAAATCATCTCTAAGGGAAAAAAAAAACTATATTACAAACAAATGGGGTATGTTACTCCATGGTACTGGAATTTTTCTTACTTTAGAAGGTAGCTCTAGTTCATTCCGTCTCTGTAAAAAAAATGTTTTTTTAAAAAAAAAAATAAAAACAAAACAAGTGTGTTTTTTATTATATTGAATTGGTGAAATGAATGGACAGGATCCGATAAACCCGGGCCTTTCCAGCTTGGAATCTATTCATACTTCCCTTTCTACTCTTTGCTTTGCTTTGCTTCTCGACTTAACGACACCGTATTGGTCTTTTGTTTTTACCCCTTTTGTTCCATAACTTGGAGACACTCCTGCCACTTCTGCTGTTAAGTTTTAACCCCCAGACCCAAACACAACCCAATATTTTAAACTCAAACACTCAATCATATTATTATTAATGTTATATTTCTAATTTGTTTTTATAACATTTCTGAAATAACGTTTCTGTTTCTTGTTTCTATTTACTCATTTTTTATAAAGAAAAATAGAATTGCACGGTCCTCATCACCCAAATATTCAAAAATGATAGAACATAATTTATATTCATGTTGGAATAAATTGGAAACGGAACAACAAACAAGAAACTTGTTTTCGTTGTTCTCAAAACTTTTATACAATTTTGAGAATATATTTCTAAAAAATGAGAAACAAGAAACATAAATTATTAAATACTTAGATTCTTAATAAAATTAAAAACAAAAAATAAGAAACGGTAATATTACCCAAGGTCTAGAAAAGTCTTAGAAACATGGCCTACCCACTTTGGTACCCTGTAGATTTCCCATACTGTGTTGGGTAGAGACAGATAATGACTCCACATTGACTATTCAATCAATATTTAMATACTTGCTGTCTTTTTTATTATTAGTAAAAAAACTTGTTCTGGCATTCTTCAAAATCTCAGTCTCAACCTTGCATGATTAAATCTCTCTAAGTTTTTTTTATATTTATTTTATTTTTGTTATAATTCATCGATATTCTTTATGTACCTCTTGTGTTCTAATAATGCCTCCATGATTAAGACAAGAGAGTACATTCATGACCAAAATTTAATGATTGAGATTATTAGGTTATAATATATTATTGTACTTTTTTCGTAAAATTTGATAAGGAGATGAAATTTTGGATTAAAAAATTGCACGAATGCAATTTCAATTATTGCGTGGATCAACCTAAATTTTCTCCAAATTGACCTTGAAGCAATTTATTTATTTATTTATTTTTTTTGCCACTCAAACCTATTTAATTTTTGTCTATGTAACTCGCGTCTCAAAGTATAAATGGCATATCAAGATTCACCGTAAAATCACCCTAAACCCTAAAACAAATGAACTCAAAACCCAACTCTCTTGAGTTGCTCTTTAGTCCACAAATATCTTGCTTTTGAGGAGGATATATTTAGTGAAAGCATAAAAAAGAAATATTTATTATTGCCGCACAAAAGAGATTTGAACAGAGAACAAATTTGTTTTAGTTATATTATATTGGGGTTGGATTTGTTTGGAAACTAAAAAAAGTGTAAGTGTAGGGTCAAATTTTTTAGGTTGTAAGTTGGGTAAACAAAGTCCTATATTGTATATCAGATAAAACAATTATCTTCATTGCTAAAAGAAATAAAAAGTAAAACTGCAATGGTCATGTCCAAAACGAGAAAAACTTCTCCCCTGAAGATTGAGAAGGAATCTCCTCCTGAATTCCTATGTGGTCCAATAGCATATAGAAAAGTGGATCACATAGAAATTATACGAAATTAAAAAAATCTACTTGTTTATATGCTACTGGACCACGCATGAATTCAGGAGGAGCTTTCTCTTGAATCTTAAGGAGGGAAGTTTTGTCCATCCAAAACTGACAATATTATAGAAATATTTTGGGATACGAGGGTATCGTTATCCTCGACACGAACGAATGAAAGAGGGAGAAGGGGGAATTGGAAAGGGAAAGAGAAAACTCTATTATTGTGTAGATTTTGCAGGCTTCCTCCCAAAGAGTTTGTATGTCCCACCTGCTGTGGGCTTCAATCACCCTTTGATGATTTTGCATTATGATGGACCTACATGTCTCTCACCCCCCAAAACTTGTTGTCTTCATTCTACAATATCACCATTTCAAAATCTCTCTCGCTACCATCCAAATCCAAATCCAATCCATCGAATCCAACCACACCTCTCTCGGTCCTATGTTTACTTCGTCATTACAACACGCACAATGTACTTAATTTGACCATCTTGTTTGGTTTTCCTCGAGATTTTTTTTTTCTGCGTATGACTAAAATGAACTAATATAAGCGGTGAAATGTATTCGAACACAATCGTAGTTCAGTGCACCATGARTACACCTACAAAGTTTGTCTTTTGTTTCTCCTTTTTTGTTTTGGAATTGATGTCTTTGAAACACAAATCAAACTAGACATTCTAATTCTTCTTTATATTTTCTCATAATAATTTTGAAATAATGAAAGGATAAATCAATAGTTGAATTAACATATATCACTCACCCATGGAAGATTAATATATTTATCCCTTTCTCCCTTTTTCTTTTGGTCTAGTGCATCAAAATAAAGTTAATCAAAGAAATTAATCAGTTTAGCTCAATTAGTTCTACAATTATACGAAAAACACTTGAGAAAATCAAAATAAAGTGATTATTTTTTAAATAGAGAATCGTTAAAGACTTCAAGAAGAGAAGAGATACTTTGTTATATATTCTCTTTTGTAAAATATTTTTTTTTAGAAAGAATCCTATTCCATACATAAAAAGGAAAAAA